AATTTTGCTGTGTACAGAATATTCCTGCACTTATATACAATGCTTTTTGCAAACTTGGGAGGAAAGAATATTGCCAAGTCTCCACTAAAAGGATCAACAAATAATGGCTGCAGTGTTGCATTTAAAGCGTATTCTGGTGACAACTGTAAGTGAATTAAGTTTCCACTAAGCTACTTGTGATTTTCTCCTTGCTCAGTGTGCCGATACAACAGGAATCGGCTATAGCACATGAGAAATTAGCGTTTGTTGAACTGTTATCCCAATACTTTATTTCATTTTAATACAGAGGCAGCCCACAGGCCATCAGGGGCTATAGAAGAACAAGTATATAAAGCCAGGAAGATGAGAGCTTGAGTCCCAGTGCTGCTGTTCAACAGCTGTGAGGCAAGGCATTACTCCCCCTCTGCTACTCCACATGTCAATGGGCTACTGGGAGGATTAAATAAGGTACTGTGTGTGGACTCCCAGGCATGGGCTGGTCCATATGGTGTTTCTATTTCCCTCCTTCAATGATATCAAAATAATACATATTTGTAGAACTAATACATGTAAAGTACTTTCAAGTAAGGAAGTCATTGATCATTCTTAAGTAATATTGTTTAGCTCAAGAAATATCAGATTTTCAAGTGAATTAGCTTTCTAATGATTTAGAAACAATTTAGAGAAAAAAACATTAGCATATCTAACATATTGCCCCAGGCAATATTATTGGGCTGTTTTGAGTTCAATAACAGCATTCAAAGAACCCAGGATTCCTACATTAGGGATTTTCCTCATTAATATTTAAACTGAAGATATATGTATATATATACATTTCTACTATTGAAGTTTTTTAACTTTGAAAAAATTCAAATAGGTTTCATTTTCCATATGTATTTCTATAAATGGAAGCCTTCCATAAATGTTTGTAACTTAAAGCATTTCGGAGCTTTGGGTGTGTGTGTGTGTGTTAGTACTACAGCTTTATTTCAGAACCTTGAGATCTTATTTGCTAGTACTCTTGTTTGGCTGGTACTTTATATCTTGAGCTATGCCTCCAGTTCCAGCTTTTTGCTGGTGAATTGGAGATAAGAGTCTCATGAACTTTGCTGCCTGGGCTGGCTTCAAACCACTGGTGCCCAGAAATGTTTCTTTTTTCTAAGTCTGGAGAATGTGGCTTCTATACCTTATTAATTCCATCACTCTCCTCTCCTTGATTCATTTCAAGAGTACTCTGACTTCTATTAAGTATCATTCAAGAAAACTTGTAAGGAGTGCAATTAGGCCCTAAATAGTGAAAATATTTATTCCTTACGGTATATTTCCCAAGTTTACATTTACTACCTCATCTCCACAGAACTCAAAATTAAGCACTGATCCTTTATGTGCTATATGTACATCAGTAGAGTGTAGGACACCTTGTTTGTGTTAAAGGGAGATAAAACACATGTCAAAATACTTTGGAAATTTAAAAGCACTATGCACATTAAGGTAAAATTATGTAAGTGTGAATATAACATTTTTTTATTAGAGGTAGAGAAATAGGGAAGTATTTTAGATCTCTTTGGCTAATGAATCTAATGTAGACTTATAGGCCAGAGAAGCTATGTTTTTGTATGGTAGGAGACCCATTTTTAGATATGTTTACATCATTACATTCAGTGATTTAAAAAAATGCTATTAGGGTTGCCTTTAATTTTATTTCTTACATATTAATTTAAGACAAGATGCCAGAATATTGCTTTTATCAGAATAAAAGCATAGAGCCACAATATTTGTAAATTTCCTATATTCTAATGCAGGTATTTCTTAATATTGCTTAAAAATATAAAAAACAAGTTCTATTCCAGTCTTACATTTTAAATATTTGCTAAGAAATTTAATAGGTACAATGGACATTAAATTTATCTCAATTTAATCTCAACTTTGATTTTTCTCACTTAGGCAAAATACCCTTAAACATCTCTGGGGCAGACCTTCTGTATGCAAGGCAAGCGCTCTACCACTGAGCCATCTTCCCAGCCCCAATGGGCAGACCGTATGAAGGCAAAGCTCCTACGAATTATTGCAGCATTCAAGAACTTAAGGTATCAAGCCTAAGGCTAGAATTCCAAATCACTCTAGTGAGGGCTCAGCTGAACAGGAAGTAGGGTGTTGAAAGAAAGTGAACTGTCCTGGTGATTTTCTATTAACTCATTCTCTTTTTTTTTTAGTAGGTAAGAAAGAAAACCTGCGGTAGGCTTCCATCTTTTAGTGGGAAACAGACAGGCTTTCCAAGTATTAACCCACATTAAGTGTGCCTTTTGGGAGAAACCCCCTAGAAAACAAGCACAGGAACTTTTCTTTGGGTTGGGAGAAGGTATGATAAGCTGCTTGCTCATAGGAATTTTACTTGCTCATTCAAACCTATAGACTCAACTTTATTAGCTCAACATACAGTCCCAAGGAAAAATGTGGTTTAGAGGTAGTATTTAAATTGTTCTAAAGGCAAGTGGGTTTCAAAAATTATAATAGCAAATGACCAAAACCAAGAAAGAAAAAGGAGAAAAAAAACAGAGTAATTGAATGGCTAAGGACAGAAAAAAGTGAACTGTTCAACAACAAAATGACCAAGTATATCATATTTTGACACGTTAAAGCTTTGCAGTGACACTAATTAAAATAGGTGTGCATTCATTTCTCCATGATATTTGGCCATGTCAGGCTAGAGAACATTTCCCAAACAAATTTTAAAACTATAATTAACACAACCTAAAAAGTGCAATCCCAGAATCCTCTTTTCTTATGGATTAGATTCCTGTAGTGCCATCTCCCATTTTCTCTGCAGCTAAAGTACTATATTGAACTGCAGGATTTCAGAAAGCTTCTAGTATGCTCCTGTTTGCTAATAGAGCCTATGTCTCTATTAGTCATCCGATCCGTATTAGTCAGACTGGAGTAAATAAGCACATCTCACAGCTGTGCTGCAGTTTGCTGTATTCCATCAAACTGCTCATCTCATTCTGCTGTCCTCTTTCAGGTTTTTCTTACCTGGCCAGATAAAAGTTCATTCAATTTTCTCAAGGCAAGACATTTCCTAAAAGGGATTTTTTTTTTTTGTTTTTTAACTGAAGTGACACTAAAAATATTTTGGTTATTCAAAAAATATTCTTGCCCTTGCTTGGGATTCTCAGAAAGAAAATAAGGACACAATTTGGCTAGATTACCTCTGAGTATTCAGACACAGAAAGAAGTGTAATTAATTCCTCTTTGGAAAAAACACCCTAGGTGGATAAATTTCATAAATTATAGGAACAGCTGAGACAGGAATTCTATGACTCAAGTTGACACAATCAATAATAGGTAATATTTATTAAAGAACCATTCCGTTTTACCCAGGAAAGATGGGTTCAGAAAAGACTAAGTTTCAGTTAATATATAAAGATAACATGGTTCAAGGTTACAACAAACCACATATCTGAAATGCTGCCATTAGGTAAATAGATCACATATTTGGTAACAATTGTTAACAAATGCCAGGAAATTAAGCTAGGGTGTGGAGGCTGACTTTCATACTTCTTATTTAGGAGAACTTCCCTGAAAATAAATAATGCAGATTTAAAGACAATGCCTAACAGAACAAGATTATTCTTTTCTTGTCTCTCCTACATTTTCATCTCCCTTCACTAAAAGATATCCTAATCCTAATGTTGCCACTCCCTCAGAACAATTCAGTATTGAGAGACTGGAAAGGAGACATACTATCCCACATCCTCTTTCTCCAAGACATCTCTCAGGCAGAACAGCCACGGTTTCCAGAACATTCTCTTCATACTTTTCTTCCTTGAGCTGCAGCATAAAATGTTTAGCAAATTTTTTTTAAAACAACACAACCACCAAACAATTGGGAAAAAAAATGACAACTAAGGCAAAGCAATTACAGACAAATTTTCACCTCAAAATTCTTATTTTAGGTGTGGGAGGGAGAGAAAAGACTCTTAGCACATCCGTCTGAACCTAGAATAAGGATGAAAAGAGTTTGATTTTTGCCAGTAGCTGTCAATACATCCGTATCTTTGAATCTTAGGACAAAGCTGTAGATCTCGGTCTCCATCTGAATGGGCCTTAGGAACAGTGTCACTGTTTGGCAATGGTTGACTTGAGTTACTGAGCAGAGATCCAAAGACAGGCTAGAATAAATACCCATACCAAACAGGAATAGTCAGACTGTGACAAAAGCTCTTTTCAATCTGTGTGTGTGTGTGTGTGTGTGTGTGTGTGTGTGTGTGTGTGTGTGTATGTGTGTGTGTGTGTGTGTGTGTGTGTGTGTATGTGTGTTCTGGAGCTTGAACTCAGGGCCTGAGCATTATCCCTGAGTGTCTTTGTTCAAGGCTAGCGCTCTTCCACTTGAGCTACAGCTCCACTTCTGGCTTTTTGGTGGTTAATCGAAGAAGCTCATTGGCTTTTCTGCCTTGACTGGCTTGAAACCTCGATCCTTTGGTCTCAGCCTCCTGAGTAGACAAGATTACAGGGGTGAGCCACCAGAGCCAGTCTTTTCAATTATTTTATCAGTCAGCACCATCTTCAGCTCCTCAAGGTTACAATATTAGACAATGTAACTAGTCCCAGTAGAACAATTCTATACAAGCATGTAAACTTGGGAGGAAATTAGCAACATTACAAGGAGTTAATTCTCCCTCCTCCCAACTTCTTCCCTATCATCCTACCAATTTACACTTAAAATCTAAAACTTTATCATTCATTTTCATTATGTCTTGATTCAGATACAATTTTAATTCCTTTAGAGCAAAGACATCATGGGCACCAGAGATTAGACATGATTTCTTCAGTTAGAATGGATAATGACCATATTAGGTATATATTCATCCCTTAGGAAGGTCTGTTCCAGGCTAGTTCAAGAGAGCAGAGAAGAAAAGACACTATAAAATGGTAAAATTCTGTTGTGAGCTACAGTTAAATCTTTAAAGATGTTACCTGATACAGGTGAAAGGCAAACATATCAGAGGCTTTGAGTACCTTACCTGAGCCATCTGCCTCTCCAGTTTTGATCGGGGAATATCATCAAAGTAGTTTTCATTTCTTCTCCTCCTTGCATCGCCCTGCATGATAATGTGAGGAACGTCTAGGGAGCCACCAGTGGTGTAAGTGCTTTGGCTAAGTGATGGAGACAACTGAGGAGGAGTGTGATTACCACTGGGTTCCTGAATGGAAATACATCATGAAATAAATACCATGCGCTCATGGCTAACCTTTGGTTTCAAAATTTTGAAATACTAACAAGACAAGCTGAGAGTGAAGAGTTATGAATCAACTTCCAAGGAATGAATGATATTCTACCACTTACTCTATAAATAACAAGATCATGTCAATACACACCCCCCTCCATCCCAAGTATTTCACGTTAGAGGTTTAAAGTACAAAGAATAAGGCTCTATTTTCTTAAACCAGCACTGTGGATGATTACAGGAGGGAGGAAAACCTTCGTTTGGCACCCAGACACTACTGTGTGTGTGTTTACAAGGGAAGAAACTGTGGGAAGGATGTCTTCACTAGGGTAAATGCAGGGATGAGAAGCTAAAATGGGACCTAATGGGTCCCAAGCTTCACCAAAGAGTAGTCTGATGATAGGGCCAGGAAGAGGACACAGTACGGCAACACAGCATGTCACACAACATATAGAGACCGCAGAGCAATGCATATAAGGACAGAAAATGCTTTTCAATGGCAAAGACAACGCCAGCTGGAAATTGGCCAGAAGATAAGAGGCTGAGCTTTGGTGCTTTCAATCAGCTGATTCTCCAGGCCATTCTCTCTGAGATGTCCCAGACTGCCTTTGGCTGAGCAAGCTTACTTTAGCTGGGAAATTTCTGTCTTTGATCAGTTTTTTGTTCCCTCAAGTTTCTTCTGGGGAGTCAGAGTGGGAGGCTCAGAAAGGAAAGGTCAGGAAGCAGGTAAAGGAAGCTGGAAATCATTCCTCCAAGGAGTAATTTCAGGAGAATTACATCAATGGTGCCTACAGCTTCCTTCCTTTCCAGATAGCAAGAGCTAGCAAGACAGTAAGCCTCTTCCAGCCTCATTTACTCCCCCCCTACCCAATCTATTGGAGGTGCCCATCCTAGAGGGAGAAAAATAAGTCTATTTCTTCATGCCCCTCAAGTAGCCTGCATATATCCCATTCTCTTCACTGGGATCATTTTATTCTCCTGACTCTCTCCTGCAGCCAATTCTTTTGGATTTCATGGAAACTTTATTTTCTTCTTCAAAGCTGAAGCTAACTCAACTTTATGACAGTTCCTGTCTTATGGAACCCTTTGCTATGCTGACATCAATCTATCATTTGTTCAAATTCACTAATCAGAAGCATTTCTCCTTGGGCATTTGTGTCTAAGGGTCATGTTTCACCCTCACCATTTATCACCCCTACCTTTTCTACCTTTTCTGATGCTTGCCAGAGACAGGAATCAAGAAGCAAGCAGAGTGAACAGAGCTGAATCAACACCTTGCCAAGGAAACCCCAGCTTTTGGATCAATTTTAGAAAAGATCTTGTAGGGTTCATGAAAACCAGGGACTGTCAGTCTACTCCCTTGCCACTGACATCTCTTTAGAAACCATCTCTCTTGACTTCTCATTCTCTGCCCTTCCTTCTCATTTTCCTTCCTGCTTTTGCCTATCTTCTACAGTTTCTAAGTTTTCTTCCCATAATTCTAAAATATAGCTGCAAGATATACATGTAGCTTATTAAAGTTTTAGATTCCCTATTCTTAATTTTTAAAGTGGGTAAAAAATGGTCAATTTTCAATTCTGGAAAAACAGAGGGCCCTGAGGTTAATTTTAAATTGATCTTTACTTAACGGTGGTCTTTGATCAATTTCCTTTCTGTGGGTTTGAGGAGCCTGACAGAAAACTCATTTCCTCTCTCTGCATAGATGGGAGTGTGGGACTGGAGGTGAGGGAGTGGTTCTTTAAGGGTGGTGGTTTGTCAGACTGAATTCTATTACAGGTGTACCGCTGACACTCCAGTGTATATACATTTAAGTAATTATGAAGGCCAAATCTTACTTTATTAAAACATAATCAAAAGGGAAATTGTTTTCTGTACTGAGTACTGGTCCATTGCTTTAGTCATTTTATTGCACTAAGAACCTTTTGAGGTATGGGCGGAGAACTGAATGAACACGGTGTCACTTACCCTGAGGGTGATGGACCGAGGGGGCTTCTGTGGAGGATCTTCGTGCAGCCTGTCTCCGAGAGAAGCCAAAATGCGTTTCCTGTGGCCAATCAAACTGATTTTTAAAACCTGAAACAACACGTATTTGGGTTAACTATTTAATCTGAGAAAAGAATATTTTTTGCATGTCCTAAAACATGAGGAATGAATGTCCAAAGTTAGCTCTTCTCAGTGACAGATAAGATGTGAAGTCAGGGGGTACACTCAGGGCCAAAGCTAGGAAGTTGGAAAGTAGAAAAAGGAAGTAGAGTTGGTATCCCTGGACTTCTGCTGCCTAGAGTCCACAGCCAAGAGACCCTTCAAAAATTCAAGCTAAGCCAGGTACTGGTGCAGCTGCTCAGGAGGCTGAGTTATGAGAATCTTGGTTCAAAACCAACCTGACCGAATACTTGAAAGTATTACTTCCATTTAATCAGCAAAAAGCTGGACCTGGCATGGCTCAACTGGTAGAGTATCAGTGAAAAAGTCATGTGACAATATAAGGGCCTGAGTTAAAAACCTTGATATTGGCATAAAACTAAACCAAACAAAATGAATCTGCCCACCCCCACGCCAGCTGAAAACTCTCCTGAGGCTTCTTACTGCTCTTGGAACAAGAACTAGTTCCTACTTGGGTCACAGGTAACAAGCCTGATTGTCTCCATCTTTCTCTCTCGTGCCCTTAATTCTCTTCCCTCCACACAAGATGTTCAGTCGCAGGGGCTGCCTGAATGCCCACATTCATTCTTGCCTTTGAGATTCTACCTCTGTTTGTCGGTCTGCTTGGAAAGCTCCTCCTGAGATGTGCAAGTAAGTCCCCAGCGACTTCCCATCCCTCAGTTCATATGTGGTCCCCGTGGAAAGATGCTTCCCCATCTCTTAAGCAGTCCCCACATTCAATGGAACTAAGAACTGTTCAGTCTTAATCCCCAGACCTGTTCCTGGTGCTTTACAAATGCTACTCTTTTCAGTCTTCCCAAACATGTGCTCCTGGAAGTTCTCTTTACAGTTGAGAAAGTGAAATTTGTGCATGCTCTAAGATATCAATCAGGTTTTCCCAATTTCAAAGCTGTTTGACTCCAAGGCATATAAAGATTTGGTGCTGTCTTAAAGTGCTGCCAACTTTTAAAATATTATGAATCCACTAAAAATGTATTTACCCCTTCTGTGACTATGTTTATGATTCCAGGATATAACAACTCTTTTTTTTGGGGGAGGGGGGAATCGATCGGTTGTGGGGCTTGAACTCTGGGACTGAACGCTGTCCCTTAGCTCTTCAGTTCAAGGCTAGCACTCTACTACTTGAGCTACAGCGCCACTTCTGGCTTTCTGGTGGTTTATTGGAGATAAGAGTTCCACGGGCTTTCCTGCCCAGGCTGGCTCTGAACCTTGATCCTCAGATCTCAGCCTCCTGAGTAGCTAGGATTACAGGTGTGAGCCACTGGTGCCCGGCTATAACAACTCTTGATATGCAACTAGTTTCCAAAGTAGTTTCTCAATAGGGAAAAAACTGTTTCCCCTCTCTTCAAGTTTTACAGTAGAAAAGCAAGCATTTCTTTGGCACATATATTGTGCTGCATTGAATTATTATTTGTTGACCTATTGGCTTTTTTTGCCTAAATTGATTTAAATTTTCAAGTGGCCCTATACCCTGTTCCTTTTTCACTCACCCTCTGCCCCATGCCTTTAGTGATGATGAGATGATGACTGTTAACTGGGACAAGTATCCACCCGCACCACATCCCCAAGCCTTTACAAAGTTGCCTCGATAAACTTCCGTCTTCCCAGATTGATGAATCTTACTCTCTGCGAGTATGTTTTCACAAAGCAGCTCTTCTTTCCCATAAATTATTTTACTTGGCCTTCTTTGGACCTTCTTCTACCCTATTACAGCTGCTTAAGGTTGTTGAAAAATGGTTTATAATATTCTAGGTATAAGTGAACCATGGTTTTATGCCTGAGCATAGGCATAGGACACTATTCTCTCTCTCTCTCTCTCTCTCTCTCTCTCTCTCTCTCTCTCTGTGCAGGTTCTGAGGTTTGAATTCAGGGTCTAGGTGCCATCCTTGAGCTTTTTTTTTTTTTTTGCTCAAGGCTAGTGCTCTACCACTTGAGCCACCTATCCACTTCTGAGTTGTTTTGTTTGTTATTTGGAGAGTCTCACAGACTTCCCTGCCCAAGCTGGCTGGCTTTGAATCGCAATAATCAGATCTCAGCCTCCTAGTAGTTAGGACTATAGGCATATACCACCAGCACCTAGCTTGTTTTCTGCTTCTAATGTTCCTTTAAAAATGTTCTTTCTAAGCATACCTGGCTATTTTTTAGCTGCAGTTGGAGTAACTAGAGACAAAGGTACACACTATAACATCTATTAATGTTTGCTACAGCTGATAGTTCAAAACGCTTTAATCTTGAAAGAATGGTTTATTTCTCTCTAAATTCCTTTATCTTACTGTTGTCATCCATGCAGAGGCCCATATGCCATCCCTTTGCCCACTCACGTACGCTGTGTTGTCTTTCTGCATTTATATTAGCCAGCTTGACATTTCACTACCTGGAAGAGCTTAGCAGATTTTTGCAAATCTGGATATTTCACTGTGTACTCATTCTTTCAGATGATTTATATATATGCTAAGTAAGTGTGGTCCCAGTGCTGAGTACTTGCAGCAGCATTATTTATACCATCCATAGAAATGCCCCTATATTCTTGCATTGTTGGGTTTTTTTTTAAGGCATCAAGATCAAAGAATTTCCCCATCTCAGAAAAATACAACATTAACCTTTCAAAGGTATTTTGCAAGTCTAAACACTACAGTTGGTTTCGTATTCTCTTTTATTCTCATTCTCAGTTGCTTTGCCAAGGGCTTTTCTTATAGGATACAAATTCTTCCCATAAAATCCCCACAGTTTTGCTCCCAATAGGTAACTGGACCTGATGCTGATGGGGCTACTGTGAACCACTGAATCCTGTTAAGAAATGTAAAGTCACTCAAAATTACTTGGACAAACAACCGACACGAAAGAACAAATAACTATGGTAAAATGGAACTGGGGAGCCCTCAGTTGCTAGTCATTTCCTCTCTCACACTCAATTCTGGGCAAGTGATTTCACTTCTCTGACCTCAGTTTTCTCATCTACCAGAGGAAGAAGCATTAATGTTGATCTCTAGTGTCAGTGGGAAGATGGAAAGGAAATTATGAGAAAGATAGCACAGAGCATAGCACATAGAAGATATGACCTTCACTGTGTATTTGTTCCAGAGAATGAACCCTGAAGCTATACAGAAATCTTCACCCAGAAGAACTAAGTCTTGGTCGTTCTCATAAAGCTAATCATGTCAAATAAGGTGATCGTTTGCATGGAGAAATGATTCACTCTGGAAAAGCTCTCATTGAAGTAACTCATTTCGGTAAGAATATGTTTGATGTCTAGTTATTTGGTCAACAGACCTATTTTAAAAGAATGTATGTTTTTCTTCTATTCACTCCATTTAATCTCCAAGAGGAGGTAAACTGAGGCATTCCTCTACGCCAGAGCTCTGACTCCTTTACAGAACGACAAAGAAGATAGTAGGATAGATTAAGTGGGTTATAAATTAACACAGAATCCTTTCATGTCAAAAAGATGTGGGTAACTCTCCTTAGTTATCAGAAATTATCTCATATCACTGACAATAACGACCATTCATCAAACATTGCCTATGTTTGAGTTCTGTATAATAGGTGTGCTAACATGCATGTTCATTATACACCTGTACAAATACCTTATTTAATAATTAATGTAATGATATCATTCCTGTTTTACAGATGTAATACATGAAGACCAAAAATACTGAGTAACTTGTTCAAGGTCATGATACTAACAGGGGTAATGGCTGAGACCTGCTGGGATCTGAATTTAATTTTTAAAAATGTATATTCTCTGCATTTGATTCTTTACCTGCTCATTCACTATGCTCCTCTTCCTGCTATTAACCTCAATATCTTCTAACCTTACCTATCTACAGGTCATGTCATAGAAGGATTTCTTATAGTGCTTCTTATTTTTAAAACATTTATTTTGGGATTTGGCCATTCAAAAAAGATGAAAATAATTCACTTTTGGACGAGGCTCATAACAAATTTAAAAGTTTCAGGCCAAAGAACAGGAACTTCACAAAATTGCTTGTGGAAATACATACAAAGACAAAGGACAGGAAATCTTCATTACTAATATCAGAGTGGTAGAGAAGGTAGGTAACATTTGTCTCACAATATCCAAGTCAACAATAAAAAAATGGATTGGCAAGACAATACAGAAAGAATAATCCACAAGAAAGATGGTCATCATGGAAAAGTTAAGTACAAAGGCAATTGGTTTTGCCTCGTGATAGTAGCTCAACCTCTGACTATCTTTATAATTAAAGCTGTGAAGTGGTGGAATACCTAGTTTCAATAACCTGTAAACCTTTTGTTAAAATGAAAACAAATACCAACACAAACAAAACCCTCAAATAATGGTTACTGTGTTATTCTGTAGTTTTAATTACTACTTGGGTGAAAACTGGAATTCAAATGGGAGTAAAAGATAGAGTAATAGTTATGTATTGGGCACTTATTATAGTAAGATACTGAGGTTCAGAAAAAACTCAGCTCAGAAACAACTGAGTTTCTGCCAGAAATTATTTGCAAGACCCAAAGGGGAACATTTACTAACAGAGCTTACAATATTGATGAAATTAGACTCAAATAGCAGAAGTCTTAAACTGTTAACTAAGAAAAAAGTGCTGTACAAATGAACGTAAAAAAGTGGCAGAGTTCTAATAATAATTTGCTGCATGTTTTTTTTTTTTTTTTGCAGGTCCTGGAGCTTGAACTCAAGGCATGGGTTCTGTCCCTGAACCTCTCTGTGCTCTTTGCCACTTGAGCCACAGCGCCACTTCTGGCTTTTTTCTGAGTAGTTTACTGAAGCTAAGAGTCTCGTGGGCTTCGAAACATAATCCTCAGATCTCAGCCTTCTGAGTGGCTAGTTACAGGCATGAGCCACTGCATATTTTAAAAAATGGCTTCTACTATACCTGTCATAGAAGAAATGTAGGTCAAAGGCAAAG